GGAAAAGCATCGGACGATAGCAGAGCGGAGACAGTCTAAAAACATTGTCTATTTTCCCCGATTGAAATGCTTTCGCTGATTCATACTGGGCACACAATGTACCCATCAATTTAAGAGCCATGGGAAGAGCCTGCATAGAATAAAAAAAGTAAAAAATTGTTTGAGTTCTCGGAATTCTGAGAAGTTCTGAGATTTTCAAATGAAACTGTAAGATGCTTTTGAGCTTTTTCGACGTCTAACTATTTAACTTTATTTAACTTTTCAACTGTTAGGTCAGCTGGCAAACTCCCTTTTGAACCCCACAATCCACGATTACTAATCTTGGAATGTCTTGAGCGTGTTCTATGTACATATTTGTCCGTAATTTCGAAATTCTTCAACGATAGAAAATTAGGGAGCCACCGCATTTGCATAGGGCTCAAAGGTTACGTGGGCTAGACAGATTATGCGATTTTTATTACTGTTGAATCAGGGCACATTCGCTATCCCTGCAAGCGATGGGGCGTGTGACGGGGCAAGGATTGGAGCCCTGCCTAGGAAGCCTTGTCCTCCAGTGGTGTCATTCCGAGAACAATTGGCAGGAAGGGCTATTCTAGCAGCGACTCCAACTCAAGCCCCTTCACACGTCCTATCGTTTGCAGGGATGACCACAGTTACTGACAGGATCCAGCGGGACGACAGCGAACTTAAAGACAAGTACCGCTCAGTGTTCAGATTCTTCACTGAATCTCTGCATGAGGCCTCGCTCACAGTTTGCGACACTGAAGAGCAAGGGAATATAAAAACCGGAGAATAGGAGAATAGTTTCCCAATGAAAGCTTAAACATTGATAGGTGAAACTGGGAGAAATAGGAGAAGACACAGTTCGGGAGAACGAGGATCGCGGATAAGAAAGATTGAATCCTGTCTTCTTGATTCTATATTCTCAGCATATCGTTCCAGTTCGCTAATCACCGAAGTCAAGCTGGTCGTTGTGGTCCTTGGCTCGCCTGCGCACCTCGTCCCCAGTCTGTGGCGCTTCTCCCCTCTTTCTCCCCCTGTTCTCACTCCGCCATTCCATCCCCGATCGATGATTATTATCCAGTGCAGTATGCAAGCGCGAGTGTGAGCTAGAGCTAGCTCGAGAAGGCGATAGCGCGATCTCTACTATCGCATGGTGTTCGAATCGCGCGATCAAAGCCATCGGATCGAGGAGCATGAACGCCTTCTTTTTGCAAAACACTAAAATATTCAAGAAAGAGTCGAGAGCTATTGAAGTTTTTCTTCGTGAACCCAATATATGGGCTTTCTCGAATAATTTTGTCCTTGACCTCGTTTTTCTCTTTGGAATCTCCTCAAAAATCGCCGAAACTCTTGCTTTCAACTTTACAACCAACTGTCTAAGGAATTTGATAATACCATTAACAATGCTTATACTGAATCTATCACCTGCTTGACGAACTTAGTTCGTACCGAATCCTTATGCAGCTTACATTCAACTCGGTTCCGATCAATTTCTCGTGCAGCCTTCGTCCAGAATAACTGTATTCTATTACAAGCGGCTGAAGTCCGCTATCTCTGCCTGTAAAAATGAATAACAAACTAGCACCTTAATATCTCATTCTTCCACAGTAAAACGAGGAGGAAGAATAACTTACATGAAGGGAGTAAAAATACCGAGCCTTCTTGCTTTGGCAATTTTGGCACGGTTGAACACCATCAGGACCTTGAATAGCATACCTTCTACACGTGGTGCAACTAAATAATGACGTTTACATACAACAAACAAAAGCTAGAATGAGATCTATAATTTTGAACTACTGAAGATTGAATTAGCGACTCCGACTGAGAAACGAGAAGCTATAATGAGGTGATTTAGAGTGGCCTTTGCCAAAAAGTAGCTTGACGGACCCTAGGTATACCAAAGCTTCGTAATGAATGCTACAAATCCTAGCCATAACAGTTGACGCTTCGGTGGAGTATTCACTGAGACGACCAATCACACGAAGAGCTGTTCCATCAACTAGAAATAGGTAGGAATATTGTTGGCGAAAGTGTATTCAAAGAATGAAATTGTTCTTAAAATTGAATTACATGTAAAATAGTCTTCCGATGGTGTTGTGTCGAATAGACCAGTAAGAAACAGTCGATGAAGACATTCCGCTTCAGGGTCGCGGGGCTCCACATCAACGAAAGCTGAGTCGTTTAGAATGAGCGATAATGTACCTGTAAAGGACATCAGAAACTTCTAAGTGACTAAAGTTCTCTTCTAACAACATTCACGAATCTTCTTGGCTTACATATATTCGACAGGTCTAAAATGCAGTGCACGGAACTAGGATGAGCAAAAACAGCTGGCTCTCGTACTGTATACTCCTTATCCCTGAGACGGGGTAGGCGTGGCATTCGAACATGGCACAGAACTGGTTACTCGTGGGATATTTCAATTTGAGACAACCGCCATCTTGTTCTTTGTTGGACAGAGACGTGACCACATTTGGG